GATCCCTCACCGGCACCTGAACTGTCGACAGTCCTAGTGCGTAGCATCACCATACTTAAAATACACCATAACAATCATCAGTACACACATCATAACTCGGATCTCACATACTACAAGTTTTCTTGGGTTCATCTCAGCCTTCCTTGATTTGAGTACGGATCCTATGCTTTCAGTAGTATGGGCCCACATCTATTCGTACTTTCCTCAAGAACTTCCTTGACTCCACCAAGTCCCTTCTACTGCTACTGCTCTCTGCTAATCTCCTCCTAGGCTTGCCCTAGAGTAATCGCCAACCCACTCTCCGCCATCAGCTGCATAAGAAGTCCCTGCTATATCCCCCTGACTAGCTTGCGAATACCATTACATATCACTAAGACTAGATAATTCTTCGAATGAGAGGTTCTACCCTACAACGATTAGACTCAGACAAGAGCTGCGAAATAGAGCTAAACCTAACCTTCTGAAATTATTCAGTCCTCGTAATATGTAACTTAACATATTCGTTTACTAGCTAGTTAAAGATAACTAGAACTCTTAAAAGCACAAAGCAAGCAGCAAGCATCGAGTAAACATAATCAAGCATATCCTAATCAGGCCATCATATCATTCACTAATCCGTACTAGAATGCAGTTCATAAAGCTCATACACATATAACAGGAACATAAGGCATCCTTCCTAGATCCTTAGCCCTAATCTAGCATGCAATTCTCATAAACATATCATAATATAAACTTGTATGGGTAATTTGGGAGTACTTACTTGAGCTCGGATGATTGCATGCACCACACCCTTTTCTTTTTTCAAATTCTTTTTGTAAAAATGATTTTCTTTTGAAAATTTCATACCAAGTCCTTAGTTTGAGTCCAGACACACCCGAGAGTGTACCCGAATCCCTCAAACCAAGGCTTTGATACCAACTTGTAACATCCCAAAAATACGGTCCAAAATTTTCATTTTTGTATTAATTAAACAAAACCATAGTTATTAAAATCATATCAAACATCTATCAAAATATCAGAGTAAACATCCCAGACTATAAATATAATGGTGTGTGCACTGCAGTCATCCCGAGTTCTTCCCCTTCCTACCGGAAGTACCTGAAACCAAAACTGAAACTGTAAGCCCGAAGCTTAGTGATTCTCCCCAAACTACCACATATCATACACATAACATGCAACTAGGAGATACGGGGCCCGCCCACACTCTGCTACTATGAGATACGGGCCCCGCCCACACTCAGGTAGTTATGAAAATACATACAGGTATCACACAGACAACAAGTATAACTTAGCATATAAATCTGTACCATATCAACTATCTATGAGATACTGGCCCCGCCCACACTCAGCTACTAATCAGATCACATATACGGGCCGGCCTTGGTGCCTTAGACCCGTTCCTACTGAAGGAAACTCACCTCAATGTCGTGAATAGCTGAAAGTCCCTGCTCTGCAACCGTCTCTACTCACACCCTATACAGAACAACCTCTTAGATAACATTCTATACTCAAAACCCCTTCATGGGTCAACCTTGGTCAAATTCAAAGTCAACACCCTAGGTTGACTCAACTCGCCGAGTTGGTCCATCCACTCATCGAGTTCCATGAATCATAAACCCTGAAATAGCGATCCAACTCGTCGAGTTCTTTCACAACTCGTCGAGTTCCTCCTATCTACAGAATCGGGACACTTCGTCCCAACTCGCCAAGTTCCTCTATGGACTCGCCGAGTTCTTCAGTCTGTTGCTTCATCTTAATGGATTAAGCCCTTATTCATCAGATCTAAGCCCTATACTCTGCCTATACACTGAAAATGTCCTTTTAAGGGTAAAGTTTCCAACTTTACCCGTTAATACCCTTACTTGAAGAATCTAGCTAAAACCCTAACTCTTTTAGGAACTAGATCTTGATTCTAAGGCCATCAATACTCTAAACCAAGGCATATAAACTGAGATCTGGACCCTAGACACCACATAACACGTAAAGCTTCCACCTTTCTCTCCATGCATGGCCTTTTGGAGCTTAAAAGGCCAACATGACATCCTATTACTTTCATGGGGCTTCAATGGCCATAAAGTTTGCACCTTTATGCCATGAAAGCCCTCCATGGTTTCAGATATGGAAGTATACTCACTTGGGACGTCCATAACCCAATGATCAAGCTTCTTGGAGCAAAAACGCCATAAAATGATAATAAAGAGATCTAAGAAGTTACTAAGCAAGTTTGAGACTTGCTTACCAGAAAATGATGAGAATGAAATGGAGTCTCTGGATCTACTAGCTTCGTCTTGAATCCCCTAGCTTCTTCTTCTTCCACAAGCTTCAAACACACAAAGCTTCACTTAAAAATGGCTCACTAGATCACAATTGCATTAGGGTTTCTGGAGGCTGTAAATGAGGCTGGCATAAAGGGATTAAGATGCTTAAATAGGGTGCAAAACCCCAAAATTAGGGTTTCATTCTAGAAGTCCTACTCGTTGAGTTGAGGCTTCCAACTCGTCGAGCAGACTTCAAAACCTGTTTCCAAATCCAATCCCTACTCGACGAGTGTGGGGCCTCCAACTCGTCGAGTTCCTACATAAAAATGAATAAATTATTATTTTAAATGCGTACCAGGAACCATGCGTTACAATAGTTAAGCCTTGGTCTCTATCTGTTTAGGTGACCCATAGTGTCGGTATTCGGAGCAGTGTATTGTGCAGCTATTCGTCAGATTGTGAGGTGAGTTTTCCTCACTGTACCCATAGGTCGAAGGCACCAATGTCGGCTCACTAGATTATTTATCCTGGTTAGGATAATATTATGGTAGCATGTAGCTGATTAGTAGATATGCATGATTATCAATATTTGTTAGTTTTGTGTTATGTTTATCTGTTACATATGTCGATATATTGTGTTGGGTTGAGACTGTACTACTTTGTGCGGTTAGTCAACAGACCGGGGCATTCCAACCGAAAGGTTGTGGGCCAAGGGTAATCCAACCAGGAGGTTGTAGACCCGTTATGTATTTTGGGCGTTCCAACCGAAAGGTTGTGGGTCAGGGGTAATCCAACCAGAAGGTTGTGGACCCGTTATCTGTTTGATTATATGTTTGTGTGGTGGTACTTTGGGGGAGTTCACTAAGCTTTGGTTTACAGTTTTAGTTTATGGTTCCAGGTACTTCCGCGGATCGTGGGAAGACGAATGCGTGATTTGAAACTCATGATCTTTATTTTTGATGATTTGATTTCATTTTTATTTATTGATGTAGTTAATCTGCGATTAGGCCGGCTAAACTCTAGTCGCTAGTCGAGCGACTTAATACTTAGTAGCGATTTTCACAACCTTACAATAACTGACCATTCATCTTTGAACATGGAATCATGAACAACTAAACCAAAAATTGTTGACGGTGATCCTAAAAAAATTAGTTGGTTTGAAAAAAAAAAAAAGTTTGTTTAGTGAAGAACAAATGAAAATGAGACTATTTATTGTGTTTATCGCGTGAAGAACAAATGATGTTAAACATAAGACTTTTTATTTGTAAATCTCCTATGTTGTATGTGGTTGACTGGTTGTACACACATGGCCGAATTTAATCATTTATTGTCACATAAGCATTGCCATCGGATGATTGCTTCATACTTTCAATAATGTCTTAATTGACATTTTTTGCAAAGTTAATGATCTATTACATTAAAAAATAAATCTAATGACCAATTTTAGACAAAACCCTAGCCTTGTTTCCGAGTTCTATTTAAGGATGGATATGAATGGAAATGAAGAGAAAGTGAGGGATGTCAAAGGAAAATCGTACTCCCGAGTTTCATTAATGGAAGGAAAGTGAGGGGAATGAAAGGATTTTGAAGTCATATTTTCTTTCTAAATTTTCCTCCCAAATTGGGCGGATTTGGGAAGAAAGTGAGGTTAAAATCTTCAAGTTTATTTTCTTTTCCCTTCTAACTCAGGAATACAAAAACTTAAAAAATTTCTCTCATTTCCTCCGAACTCGAAAACACGGAATAAAGAAAATTTTCCTTCCCCTCCTTTTTTTTCTGTCAATTTTTTTTCTACCAATATTTTTATTCCCTTTCCTTTATTGAATTTTTTTAAAAAAAAAAATTTAAAATAAAAAAAAAAAAAAAAAAAACTTGAGAACAAGCTAAGGCTAAGACCAACTCCAACCTTAACACTAAATTCTACACTATTTTTGTGTAAATTTTACACAAAAACATTTTTCAATTCCAACCACACACTAAAAACTTACACAAAAAAACATATTTTAATATTATAATAACGTTATCCTTATATTATTTCTTATAACTATATTTAATATCTAAATTAATATAGAAAATTTAATTAAATAATTTTACAAATTATGAATAATTTTAAAACTAAAATACCACGTTAGTGAAATATGTGTTTAAGTTTATTACAACAAGCTTTTATTATTTTTGATTCTTTTTATTTCCATAACAATTATATATATATATATATATATATATATATATATATATATATATATATATAATCAGTTTAGTGTAATGAAGCATCACTGCATTTGGTTGTGGTTTAATAAAAGAATTTATTGAATAAAATAATAAGATATATTAGCAAAAGTGATTTGGTGTAGGACTAAACCACGGCCATATATGGCGGCCAAATTTGTTCTCCACAAAAATAGCGTTTCAAATGGCGTATGGTTGGAACGATTTAGACCGCTATCCCACAATAATGATGGTCGATTAGAGTTGCTCTAAGTTCGTTGTACCACGACATTTTCCTATTTTCTAATAGAGAAATTAAGTTTGAGGATATTTAATTTCTCTTTTTAATAATAGTTTGGGCTAAATAGGTTGGATGAATAGAGTAATGGGCTGATGGGCAAATGGCAATTAGATACAAATCCTCTAACATTTTTCTTCTAAGTAAAATAACTCTGTCAATACGACAACGCTTTAAGAAATCCCTACCAAGATCCAAAAGTCCAAAAGTAGCCGTTACAAAGAGCGTCAATATCTCTCAAACGTTCTCTTTTTCTTCCACTCTTTCCCCGCCGTCGATGATCATCCGATAAACCGAATCCCATAAGCCCCGTCATCTCTCTCTACAACTAATCTCCTCCTTATTCCGGCGATTTTCCGATGGAACCGAACGGCAAGAACGCCGGAGCAGTGCCACTGACACCGTCGAAGTCAAAGCTTTCCAGCAAGTCAAAGCAACCAGAGAATGTAAACCCTAACGTTACTAGCCCTAATCCGAAGGCCTTGCATTCTCCATCAGTAAAATCTGCGACTAAAGTCCAGAAATCGGCGATGAAGAAACCTAATCAGATCTCTTCGCCTTCTCCCAAGAACAAGATTCGGGAGAGGAAGTTTGTGGTGGCGAAGAAGAATTCGAAGAGAGACAAGGATAAAACCCTGATTTCAGTCGATTGTAAGTGTAAGGCTAGTGGTAATTCGGACAAATGTTTGTGTGTTGCTTATGAGACTCTTAGGGCTTCTCAGGAAGGGTTTTTCAATCGGAGTGAAGTTGCTGTACAAGAAGAAAGCCCTAGTTTACCGGTAGGTCTTCAAGGAAAATCCGAAGAAGATGACGTTTTTGAGACGTCCGGTGATAAGAGGAGAAGGGAGAAACTGTTGGATGAAGCAAGAAAGAGTATTCCTGAACCTGGATCTGGTAGAGTTTTGCATTTGGTCAAGGCCTTCGAGAATATTCTCACGTTACCAGATTCAAATGAGGATGAACTCGAAGATCAGACAAACAGCAATCCTGAGAGACGATTCTCTTCCACTTCATTCAACCCATCTGATCTCTTACTCACTGCAGAAAATCTAGGGTTGCGTTCTTCACTTGATGGCAGCCATGGCAGGTTGGTTGATCATCATCTAAAAACTCTGCCATGAAATTTCTGTTAAACATGCTTAATCTCGATTCTGAATGGGTTTATTTCTACGTTTTAGCACATCAAACAGGATTTCAGGAGGTGGTCGTCAAAGCAGAAGAAACGTAAGTCATCATTCATCATGGTTTTTCTAAAATCGAGATCGTTGCTTCTTGTTTATGTTGATTTATTAACTTTTATTCTACTATGCAGAGTTCTGATTCATCATCTTCAAGTGTTGGGGGCAGCAGATGGAAAAGACGAACACTCAAGGCTACCTCCCAGCGACCTTTCAAGCTCAAAACAGAGGTTGGCATTTACATTTTAAGTTCACTTATATGTTATAACACTTCTTGTATCTTTTATAAACCTCTTGAATTGACCACATTAACTCATGAATCTATAGCAAAGAGGAAGAACAAAACAAGAAGAATTCATGAAGAAAGTCCAGGAGATGATAATTCAACAACAAAAGCAACGGATTCCCATTGCTCAAGGCCTCCCATTTACTACAGATGAACCAGAAGTAAGAACATTAAACAGATCTTTTCTAAGTTAATATATAATCACTATCTCACAAATTTGAGTAATACTAATTTCAGTGTCTGGTGAAACCACCTGTGAAAGAAAGTACAAAACCCATTGATCTTGTGTTGCATAGTGATGTGAGGGCAGTTGAGCGTGCTGAGTTTGATCATCATGTGCATGAAAAGCTCTCTTATATTGAGCAATATAAGCTGGAAAGAGAAAAGCAGCAAAAGGTACAAAATCTCATAATTTCATCTCATGGTTTGATTTTGATCCACCATTTTTGGTGTTGTTTTAACTTTTAATTTTGTTGTAGTTGGAAGAAGAGGAAGAATTAAAGAGGTTAAGGAAGGAACTTGTACCAAAGGCTCAACCTATGCCTTACTTTGATAGACCTTTCATCCCAAGAAGGTAACTAAATGTGTAACTCACTATTTTACCCATAATAACAACATAGTTATGGATGTTATTAATATTTTTTATATTTAATTTTGTTATAGGTCAGAAAAGCAACCAACAATACCAAAAGAACCAAAGTTTCATGATCACCCTCATCATAAGAAGATAAAGTGTTGCATGTCTTGGAGTGATATGCATGTTCAATGCCAGCAGAGGTGACTTGTTGGAGTTTTTTTCAAGGGAATGATGGTGGATAAGAAGGGTAATTTCGTCAATTGCTTGCCAAAACAATAATATTCTTTTCTTTTTGATTTGTGTAAATGGTGCAATTAATCTGGTTGCAGTTTTGGTTGAACAATATTTGATTTGTTTACAAAGGGTACACGAATGTGTCATTTTCTAATGAATTCCTTTCTATAATGATGTGATATGTGGTTGGGTAGAGTTTTATAATTTTTTTTATCTCGTTGACATATATGTGTCATTGTCTTCTTGTTTTATGTAACAAACTCTCAGTTAAATACATGTCGTATCAGTAGGTCTTTTTCTTTTGTTTTGTAATATAACAAATTTCAGTCCAATGCATGTCATATCAGTAGTCTTAGACCAATGGGTGCATGTCAAACACACAGTCCAAAAGGATGGAACAAACACTTGTTTTGCATAACAAGTTCTCAGTTCAATGAATGTCATATCAGTCTCAGTCCAATCGATACAAGTCATATATCAGTCTCAGTTTAATGAATGTCATATCAGTCTCAGTGTAAAAGATGGAACAAACTTGTTCTTGATCTTTCGTTTGTGCAAAAGAAGCGTATACTTTTTCACTATTAAGTTTTTGTTAACTTATTTTATTATTGGTAGGTAGATATAAGAATTTTGCAACTATGAATCCATACATAATTCATAATTCCCAACTCAAGTCACTCCCATGAAACAAATGGGATATCATAAATAAACTCATCCCAAACAATTTCAAGTTCAAAAGTTCCAATTTTTTTCAAAACTTATAACTAATAAACACATATAACATCAATAAAAAAAACTACAAGTGCAGAACTAATAAACTAAAAAACAAAGACGAAACACGAAAATTGTCTCTATAAAAATGTGCACATATCAAGAACTTACACATCATCATCACTCTTCTTCGGCTTCTTTCTTCTTTTTCTTCTTCTCCTTCTTCTTCGAGCTTTTGCTTGCTTCACCATCACTAACAGTAACAGAGGCATCATCACCATTTTCTTTATCCTTCTTTTTCTTCTTCTTCTTCTCAGATTTATCCTCCTCTGATACAACAACTTCATCTCCCTCCTTATCCTTCTTCTTCTTCTTCTTAGTACTCTCACCTTCTTCAACCTTCAGTTTCTTGGAAGCAACTGGTGTATCTGGATCTGTAACATCAACCTCTTCCAATTTCCTCTTTTGCCCTTCATCTTCAACACCCTTTTCCTTTTTCTTCTTCTTTTTCTTCTCACTGTCAACAACTTTCAGATCTGAAGCTTCTACAGTTTCTTCTTGCACAGGTGCAGCTGCAAGACTAGCAACCACCGAATCACCACCTGTAGGCAACACTACATTCCTCAGCCACTCAGCCGGAGTTTTCTCATTTGCTTTTCCATGTTTGCTCAGTTTCCCTTCAGTAATCAGTTTCTTCTTCATTGAAGCAGTAGGCCCTAACCCCCATTTCCTAGGATAAGTATCTCTGTCCATCACCACCCTCTTGATCTTTGCCACAACTCCATGATCACAAGTAGCCATTACAGCTGTAGTCATCTCTGCAATCCCAAGAGCAATCGCTTCCCCTTTTGTAGTCATCAACACCACTTCTTCACCATTTTCAATGTCGTTTTCGAATCTTAACAAACCTGGAATCATCAGTTTGGCACCATAACAGATTGCATTCACAGCAGAGTCCTTCACGACTAATCGTTTGTAGCTGGTTAGCAAGACCTCTAATGGCATGATCACACGGCGGAGATAAGTTTCGTCTCTGTAATTGTCGTAACTCCATTGTGCATCCATAACATCATGCATAGTTATCATGTTATCTTTCTCTCCCATGATACCAGATCTGACTCTTCTCAGTTCCTGCATATGTCCACCAACGCCCAAAATCAAACCTAAATGAACACAGAGTGTTCTCACATACGTACCAGCTTCACACGAGATCCAGAACACGACCAAATGCTTATCGGCATCGTACTCCAGAAGTTTGCTTTCGTAAATGGTTCTAATCCTGAGCTGTCTTTTAACAGCTGAAATCAATGGCGGACGTTGGAAAACTGCACCGGTTAACGTCTCCAATGCGCGAGCCACTTTCGCAACGTCAGGCACATCAGAATGGAGTCGAGCAACACATACGTACTCTTTTCCGGCACCTTGTTGTGATTTAACAAGGCGAGTGGCTCTATCGATGCAAACGATTAAGTTTCCGGTGACTTTTGGGTCGAGTGTACCGCTGTGTCCGGTTTTTTCGACTCGGAGAATCCGTTTGATCCAAGCTACAACCTCGTGCGAGCTAGGGTTAGCAGGTTTATCGAGGTTGATAACACCATACCTGATGTACTCAGCGAGGGGGCGTTTGAGAGGAGAGTAGCCGGAGGGAAGTGGCGTATAGTGTCCGGTTCGAACGTTAAGGCGGTCATAGTTCTTGAGGAGAATCGGCCATTCGGAGGTGTCAATCGATGGAGTGAAGCTCTGTGGTTTAATGAGATAATCGACGGCGTCAGTGGCATCGTCGGAATTTTTGTTGATCGTATCTTGGTCTTTGGATTTGCTCTTCTTTTTCTTCTTCTCTGAACGATTAAGCTCGAGTTCGGACATGGCGGGTTTCCGGCGTCGGGGTAAAGAGCAGCTTGCTGGGGGAGTGACCTGTATGCTTGGCAGAGGTGGCTAGGGTTTTGGAAAAGGTAGAAGCTTGGGTTTAGGGTTTTTTGATGTACTTTTGAAGGATGGGTAAAGTTCGCATGTGGCTATGTACTCATAAGTTTAAATGCTTCCACCCATTCCTATACTGACACGTGGAATGGAAAATGTGTGAGGTTATGCTTTCAAGTATTGAACGAAAATGAGTTGATTACTAGGAGTGGGCAACCGTTACCACCTTTAATAACGCGTAAGAACACCGTTCTTCTTCACCGTTAGTGTGTGTTATAGGTATTCTTGTTGCTTTTTTTTTTTTTTTTCTTGCTAATAACGCATGTGGGCATTGCCCACTCCTAACAAGTATTTTTGATTATTAAATTATTTTTTTGCACAATAAGTCATTAAACTTACAATTTATATGTCTGTTAAGTCATTTTCGTTAGTTTTTAACAGCTCCCCGTTAAATCGGTTATTCTAAATTACATAATTGATCCCTATGTTTTCAAGTTCTTTCATGTTTTGTCTTGATCCAACGACACACATGCTTCTCTGTTTCAATTCTAGTGACCTCCATCTTTTCTGATGACCCTTCATCTCCGACGACAATGAAGAAACTATCATCCACATTGGTTGCAAATGTTGTACTGTTGTTCATCACCTTCCCATTATTTAATCATATTTACCTCAACACTTATCGATGGAGTCACGCTATGTGTAACGTCCCAAAAATTAAGACCAAATATTTCATTTTAATTATAAATAAACTGTAACATCCCAAAATACGAAGGTAAAAAATTCATTTTTAAAACAACCAAAACACCCATTTATCATTTTACTTAAACACTTAAAAATATTTTATAATAAAAACAATTATCACAGTACAATCCCAAAATCACACAGTTACGAAAAAACATGGGTGTATGTGCTGCGATCAAGTCGGGTCCTTCCCATTTAAACTGGAAGTACCTGAATCCATAAACAACAACTGTAAGCACAAAGCTTAGTGAGTTTTCCAAATACCACATACTATACATAACATACGAGCCATGCATAACATACATATCCAACATCCAATAGGAGGTGCTATGTGCCAACCATAGTCTTGTCATTATGCCACGAGCCGTATCATGGTCTTTCCTTGCCAGGCCGGGGGCCAAAACCCTGGGGCCTTACAGATAAGTGTCAGGAGCCACCTCCTGGTCTTCCATGCAAACATCACAGAGACAACTAGCATATAATCTACAACTACTTATCTACTTAACTGTCAGAGTCCAAACTTTGGTCTTACATATAAATTTGCCAGGAGCCACCTCCTCGTCTTTCATATAAATGCCAAGGGTCACCCTTTGGTCTTCCTATAATACATAAACCAAATGGGCCGTTATTGGCGTCTTCGACTCATAGTGAAGTGAGGAGACTCATCTCAACGGCTGAACCCACGAATAACTCTCTGACTGCAGATCCGCTAAAATCCACGTGCTATCAACTACCAAAATGACAACCCATTAATAACTAGCTCCTGACTCACACTATGAGTCCAAATTAGGGTAAAATACATTTTTACCCTTCCTCCAACTTGGCCCAAGGCTAAGGCCTAAACCACATGTCTAAAAGCCAAAAATCCAAAATAAGCATATAAGACCCAAATATGGCTCAATTCCTTTCATGGGACTTCACCCAATAAAGTCCAATAAAGTCACAAAAGCCCGACCATAAAATCCAAATAGCCCAACATGGCCCAAGACAACCAAGCCCAAAACTGAAACCCAAAACGAAGAAGTCTGAGCCTACTAAGTATGCGGGGCGTACTCAGCCTATACGCTCAGCGTACAACATGAAAGACTTGTACGCCCAGCGTACTCACCAGCCATGGCCAGCTTTCCAAATCAGCTCTTAATCCATAAAGACTTTGATCCAAACTCAGAACTGACTTCCCCAAGGTGGTTAATCATATAAAGTTGTCAACTTTATGTGCATACATGGCTAAATGGGACTCTATAGCTCAAAGAAGCTAAATACTTGACTTAATACATGCATGAGACCAAAACCACCATAAAGTTTGCACCTTTATGCCCAATGAACCCATAAAATATCCAGATCTACAAAGACAAGCTCCAAAACGACCTTAACTCCCAATCACCAACCAAAATAACCAAAATGACCAAAAATGTGCTAAGAAGTAGATCCATGAAATGAAATGGCAATGTTTGAACTTTATACCTTCCAAACCACCAAAAGGAGATGTTAATGATGGATCTCAAAGCCTTCCTCCAAAGAACAAGTCTTCGAGCTTCTTCTTCTTTTTCTTCTAGATCCACAAAACCTCCATAAAACCTCACAAGAGCTCAAGACCACCAAACATGGACTATGGAACGAATTAGGGTTTTTAGGATATGGAGGTTGGCTAGGAAATGATCAAAAGAGGCTAACATAAAGCTTATATAGGGCACACTAGAAAAAATAGGGTTTTCCACCTTCCCCTCGTACGTCCAGCGTACGAGGCTACAGACCCGCGACCAATATTCACTAGTACGCTAAGCGTACACCAGAGGTATGCCCTGCGTAATAGCTTCTCAG